GGTAATTATATAGTGATAATTATGGTAATTATATAGTGATAATTATGTTAATTATATGCTGATAATTATGGTAATTATATAGTGATAATTGTGGTAATTATATAGTGATAATTGTGGTAATTATATAGTGATAATTATGGTAATTATATAGTGATAATTATGGTAATTATATAGTGATAATTATGTTAATTATATGCTGATAATTATGGTAATTATATAGTGATAATTGTGGTAATTATATAGTGATAATTGTGGTAATTATATAGTGATAATTATGGTAATTATATAGTGATAATTATGGTAATTATATAGTGATAATTATGTTAATTATATGCTGATAATTATGGTAATTATATAGTGATAATTGTGGTAATTATATAGTGATAATTGTGGTAATTATATAGTGATAATTATGGTAATTATATAGTGATAATTATGGTAATTATATAGTGATAATTATGTTAATTATATGCTGATAATTATGGTAATTATATAGTGATAATTGTGGTAATTATATAGTGATAATTGTGGTAATTATATAGTGATAATTATGGTAATTATATAGTGATAATTATGGTAATTATATAGTGATAATTATGTTAATTATATGCTGATAATTATGGTAATTATATAGTGATAATTGTGGTAATTATATAGTGATAATTGTGGTAATTATATAGTGATAATTATGGTAATTATATAGTGATAATTGTGGTAATTATATAGTGATAATTGTGGTAATTATATAGTGTTAATTATGGTAATTATATAGTGATAATTATGGTAATTATATAGTGATAATTATGGTAATTATATGCTGATAATTATGGGAATTATATAGTGATATTTATGGTAATTATATAGTGATAATTATGGTAATTATATAGTGATAAATATGCTAATTATATAGTGATAATTATGCTAATTATGTAGTGATAATTATGCTAATTATATAGTGATAATTATGGTAATCATTTTGTGATAATTATGGTAATTATGTAGTGATAATTATGACAATTATATAGTGATAATTATGGTAATCATTTTGTGATAATTATGGTAATTATATAGTGATAATTATGGTAATTATATAGTGATAATTATGCTAATTATATAGTGATAATTATGCTAATTATATAGTGATAATTATGCTAATTATATAGTGATAATTATGCTAATTATATAATGATAATTTTGTTAATTATATGGTGATAATTATGATATAATGCTGCAATTAAATAGCAGAAAATTTAATTATGGTATTTATATAGTGATAATTATGGTAATTATACAGTGATAATTATGATATAATGCTGCAATTAAATCGCAGAGAAGTTACTTAATTCTTTAAGTGGCAATGTGCCCTACTTTGTTATTTTACACATCAAGGGGAGAGTTCTGCCACTCAATGGGTCAATCAAGCTATCTTCAAATGCATCCATGCAATGTACATCTTGCAAGTATCAACCTTTTATCCTCATTTGATTTCTTTGCTTTTAGCATCCAACTAGAAAATCCAGGATCATACAGCAATTTAGAGAACTACTACAATAAATTTAGAATTTGTAAGAGAAAAAATAACTGGCTACATTCACCCCAGAATATTCTTGGTGTGGAAGATTTGCCCTTTCTTAAGGTGAGCGTAAAATGCACCTTACTGTATTATCCTACTCTGTCTAATGCCAGACGATTTTACACGTCAAGGGGAAGAGCCTTGCGCATTAATGGTTTATTGAAAATTTCTATTACAGATAACACATCCAGCTGGCTGTTTTTCTCAGTTTCTTAATTTCTTTGGTGAAAAAATTTTTATAATCTGGAAATTAGTTTTACTTCATCGACGGATTTTATTCTTCTCACCTCCTCCGGTTGGAATCTCGTGTTACAGAGGTGAGGCAATACCCTCTTCATTCGTAGTCTGTGAAGATATGATGATCTGGAAGCCAGGAAAACTTCAAAGCCACAAAATAGAAGAGCTTTGGTTGATGTTGAACTGTACCTCACAGGCCTGCAAATAATTATTTTGCTTGGAAGGACAGATGTCCGATCAAGACAAAAAGTGGTCGGACATTTATCAGCTAGTTTTTCTCGGACAATGGACGAAGGAAATTTCTCATGGTCTTTTTCATATTAGCGTGACGTTTTTCGGCTGGTCATGTTGATCTGCACTACAGTGCGTCTAAAACTGGGGTATAAATCTACAAGTCCTACTGCATTTTCAGTAAAATATATGGTTCAGGATATACATAAATTTAATTTCTACCATGTTATAAAAGACGCTTTATATTTGTAGTTAAATCTTACGGCTTAATGCAGCCAAGATAATGCACGAGTATCGTGTATATTGCTTTGGTTTCATTATTGAAATTGTGTTCAAAATCAATTTTTGGAGATTGGAGATTTGAACAGCCTAAATCGGTCGGTTACATGTCCGATCATAAAAAAACCTTGATCAGACAAAAGGTAAAACTTGGCCGGACAATGTCCGATGACCGACACTAATCTGCAGGCCTTTCTCACCGTGCGCGAATCGTTTGTGTTAACTTCATTAAATATTATTCATCGTGGTTGCACGTTTCATCTCAGCTATCCCTATTGGACGATTACTTCATTATACGAAAATACAACGAGCTCAATCACCGTGACCGTGCACAAATTAACATAAACTCCGACAAAAACTAGTGCTGTGCAAACTCCGGTTTTTCATCTCCGGCTCCGGCCGAATTACAGCTCTGAGCTCCGGCTCCGGCTCCGGCCACATCATAAAATATTAAATAAATATTTTACGATCAGAGAACATTTATTAATATTATTATGAATAACCCTTTTCGCGCTTCCTAACTATCAGATAACATAATTCAGGAAACAAAACAGTGAAAACACTTAAGACTTAACCACGCAGAAAATATCTATATGGAAACCAGCCTCGAAAAATCTTTGACACGAGGCATGACGCGAGGCATGACGCTAACACTCTCAGACTCCACAGCGCAATTGTTCGCACGCAAACAAAGTACTCTGCCATTTTCAAAAGGTTGATATTTATTTGTTTTGTACTTTTTCGTTATCTACAAGGCATGAATACACAGACTATGTAGCGCTAAGTCAGATGGCTTCATGAAAGCATGACGTTTGTAAGTTGCGATCGTATTACAGCTTTTCGACGCTGTTCCTGTGGGCTGTGGCAGTTTGAGTCTATGATGAATTCATTAACAGCAATTGGCAGTTTGCAGTAACTAATAATCGTTTGACATTTGTCTCATTTCATATTGTTTTCTTGTCATTTTGCCGGAGCCGGGAATACGTAACTCCGGCTCCGGCATACAAAATTCGGCTCCGGCGTCGGAAAAACCGCCGGAGCTCCGGCAGAACTCCCGCTCCGGCAACTCCGGCGCACAGCACTAACAAAAACATCACACAGTGACTTCTGTTCAGTTTCCAGACCATCCTATATCTTGACAGACTATATGCTTCATTCAAACTATTACTGTAAAATTTTGCTACGAAAAATAATATAGGTCAGCGATTATTCTTTACTTTTTTTTAGTGTACTGCGCTTGTCTTTTGGGAAGCCATTCTATTCCGCTCTCATTTGAAACTGGAACGAATCCTTTGTTTTTTACAAATATTTTCGATATACCTCAACTGGGAACGGAACACAAGTACATCGCATGTAAGTGTTTTTGGTTTCTTAAAATGTTTTGAGAGAAGAATCTTTTGTATGTTACGTAACACGCGCTCAAATCTAATGAGTACTGTATACTTTTTTATTTGATACGTTTCTCGAGCGGCAAACAAACTTAGAAATTTTTTTGTGCTTTATTTGTAAAATTGTGCTAAAATGAAGAGATTTTAGATGGTACGCCAGAGAGAAAATGATGTCTGAAGTTCAGCAAGTTTTGCTTATATTGCTGTAGAGTATGGCGTCAATTTTACAGCATCAATGATAACTGTATTTAAATTGGCAATATTTTTCTATTTTGTGTTTCTCAAACGCCAGATGCATTTAAAAAGGTTGCTGATTTTGTGAACTACAAAATAAAGCTAAAACAAAGTAATTTTGAGAGGAACGCCAAAATGATTGATTGCATCATTGAAAAAGGTTACTTCTTTTAAAAGAATACATCAATAGAATGAGTAAGAATTTTCCTATAAACATTTCGCCTTCATTGCATTGGTAGTTGTAACCAGTTCTTGGTCTTTTGACAATAGTTAAACTTACAAATATTTAACTTTTTAGCTTTTATTGATAAAACCGATTAAGATTTTTACAATTATATTTCAATTTTCAATTTCCAGGCACAACAGAAAAAATTTTTGAAAGTAAAAGTGATCTGTACGATGTCTACGTCGATAATCAGAATATCAAATGCAAGCCATATTTATCATCAATACAATATATCAATAGTTACGATAAGGATCGATTTAATCGATTGCTTGATTATCGGTAAGTTTTCAATTTTATTGTAACAGTTAATCAGTGAGCTTCGTATTTAACTGGAGTGATAACTCTCTACAAGGTTGTTGAGCTCAACAGACTTGATACAAGTTGTTCCAACAACTTGTTATTGTCCTACAATTTAACAAGTTGTGAGTGACAACTTTGTAGCAACTTGATAAAATAACAGCATTGTTAGAACTTGTTGACAACTTGTTACAAGGTTGTTGAGCTCAGCAGACTTGTTACAAGTTATTCCAACAACTTGTTATCGTCCTGCAATTCAACAATTTGTCAACAGGTTGTGAGCGACAACCTTGTAGCAACTTGATAAAATAACAGCATTGTTAGAACTTGTTGACAAACTTGCTACAAGCCTGTTTTAAGTTGTGAGATTTTTACGAGGTTCGATTGTTAGCAGTGCTACAGCTTGTCCGGTAAAATGCGAAGAAGGCCTCTACATAACCGGTTTTATTTTATTTTCCAGCTCAAATCAACTGCTAACCGAAGGCGAATGTGTTGATGATGAAAAAATGTACACGCGATTTTTCGCAGATTTAAATAACAGTATTTTCCAGGCCCTTATTGACGCGGCATCGACGCGCGATAAACAACTCAGCGCTGACGCCATACGCAAAATGGGTCTCGATCCAAATAAGGACAGGACATTTTTAAATCAATTAATAGAACTTTATGGCGTAGACATACCGCTCGAGGAAGAGTCGTGTTGTTGTATTATGTAATATAGGATGTTTTTCCAAGCCTGACAGGATTGCCAGATCGCTGAATATAAATAAGCCAAATATTGTTATAAGCGATCCCATTAATTTCTTTGGTTATAGTCATATATTTGGCTAAAAGGTTATAATCATATATTTGGCTTATTTATTCAGTAATCTGACAACCCTGATATATGACAAAGTTCTGGGCCGAAACGTGTTAACCATGCTATCAAAATTATTCTGGGTGGAGGACGGTCTAGGCAGGCTTTGGGCGTCCTGGGACGCCCCTAGAACGAAAAATGGACGCCCAAATTCTGGGGGAAAAGGAAATTATTTTCAACAATTTTCCTAAGTAAATTACTATATGAAATAGCTTCAATTCTCATAATTATAATTTGACATCCTGATCAATTAAAGTTAAATTAAGAAGCATAGCGGCACAAACTCGCAAAGCCAAGTGTGTTTGAAATTGAAAAATTTCGACCGATCGCTTCGAACAGATACTGACATGAAGCAACGTAAACTTCAAAGGTTTTCCAGAGCAACGTTTTCTCAAATCCCTGTCTTTACTGTAGATGTATTGTTATACCGAAATTGGACGCCCTCTTGTACGACCCTGGCTAAAAGCCTGGATCTAGGGAGTCTTAAAGTCATCCAAATTAACTAGACATACATATATGTGTATATTGATTAGGTACTGTATAGCAGCACAACTGAGTTCTGTGACCAAATTATAATGTATCACTACTTTCATTCTTCAACAAGATAATTTCAAGATTTAAGATGGCAAATAACTAAATCAGTTTCACGAAATAGTATACGTCGTTTACGACAACAACCAGGCTATAAAGTAGACCAGGTTGAGGAAAAATAACTTCGTTTGAAAGCTTATAGAGTGGAGGAATGAGAGTAGAATTGTTATTTCAACCGCTAAGGGACCTGGTCATTATTTACGTCGGGGGAGGGGGGGGGGGGGAGAAATGTTTTTCTTGGTAAAAATTTTGCTGATCCAAAGGTCGAAATTTGTTTACCCAACCTCAAATATCAATTGAAAAATAAATACCCATCCTGGCCAAAAACTTTACAAAAGGATACCACTCAGATGTTGTCACACATGTCCTTTACCACTTCTGTGACATGAGTTTAATAACTGCTTGTGCAATTTTCTGCCGTCTATCGTTTCATGTTGTCTGCACATGTACTTTCTTTCAAAACACCATTTGCCCGCTGATAAATCGGAAAATGATCAGCATAGTGACTCTGATTGATTTACAGTACATATTGTATTGACATATGACTGTTGACATTGCTTTTTAGTCTTCAATATTTGAGTTAGTCATGCTTTGGAAATGACAATAAATCTTTATTACCCAACCCTTGAGTTGTTTTGTTTTTCATTTACCCAACCTTTTACTCATTCAAAATTTTGTTTACCCAACCCTTTTCTCTTTGGTGCCACCCCTCGCCATAAATAATGATCGGACCCTTAGGATAATTCTATAAGGTAACTTATATTAATTTTATACTTACAATTTACTGTATGACATTAGCTTAGTTGGTATAAAGTATACCGCAAAAAGACATATTATTGTAACAGAAAATATTGTAGAAAAGAAGTGAATTTGGACGGCTTCCATTGAAGAATAAAATTGCCAAGGTCCTGTTGTATAAAATGTAGTTATTAATAAATTTGACCACTGGCATACTTCGTAAAGAAGTTAACGGGAGATCAGGAAAACTTTTATCCAATATATATTGTTGAGTTAGATAACCTTTCTCATTGTATTTATGTCCGTTGCATATCTTCCAATTCACATTTTCCAAAAACTCGCGTGCCTAGTTACCACTGTTCTGATAATGTAAGCATAGAATGGAACAAAGGTAACCAAGCATTTAAATTATATATGTGAGTGAATTGATAACTCACATGTCTAGTTACCACTGTTCTGATAATGTAAGCATAGAATGGAACAAAGGTAACCAAGCATTTAAATTATATATGTGAGTGAATTGATAACTCACATGCCTAGTTACCACTGTTCTGATAATTAAGCATAGAATGGAACAAAGGTAACCAAGTACTTAAATTATATATGTGAGTGAATTGATAACTCACATGCCTAGTTACCACTGTTCTGATAATGTAAGCATAGAATGGAACAAAGGTAACCAAGCATATTTAGATTATACTGTATATACATAAATTATGTGAGTGAATTGGATGGTAAAAATCATAAAAGCTTGGAAACAAATATAAGATAATACAAAATTTATTCAAAATAATTTACAGGAAGAATAAAACTTGTATACATTTGTATATCTCATTTACAAAATTCTTTTGTTACATATTCGTATATTTTTTAGCGAATACTTCCTTCACTTGCAAACACTTCTTCTGATTTGGTGTCAAGAATGGTTCCATGTCATAGACTGGTTCTTTCATTCCTGCAACGAGACAAAACAAATACTAAGGAATGTTTTTAAGAAATTGGCATGTGCCTCTATATCAGCTCTAAACTGCATTACTGCAGAAGAATACTCGCTTTCATTCCTGCAACGAGACAAAACAAATACTAAGGAATGTTTTTAAGAAATTGGCATGTGCCTCTATATCAGCTCTAAACTGCATTACTGCAGAAGAATACTCGCTTTCTTTTGTTGCAACCGAAGTTAATGAATCACACCCCCAAACATGTTTGGATTAGAGCTGTGAAAACTCCGGTTATTTAACTACGGCAGTCAAAGCTCCAGCCCCTGCAAGGAAATTGTATATTTAAAAGTACAAGCAGGCGAAAGGATTTCAGTGTAATTTCAGAATTTACTTTATTCCTTTTTAAGCTTTATCAACGGAATATACGTGCTTCGGTGCTTGTTTAAACAATGTTTTGTAGAAAGTAAAGCCGCATTGCAGCGTGGTATTTTCGCCCAAAATACATCGGGGTCAGCGGATTTTTGTATCGATAGCAATGCGCTTGCAGAATTTTCGAAGCCACGAATCGGATCGGAGCAAGTAATTAAACTTTCGTAACTTGAAATCATTCAACTTAATTTTTCCATTACCAAAAGTTCATTGAAATATGAAATAATTTTCCATATTTTTGTCTGCCGGAGCTTTTGCCGCAGTTTTCCAACTCCGACTCCGGTAAACTATGCCAGAGCTCCGGCACTCAGCTCTAGTTTGGATTTTGAGGGGAGGTGTGCACATCCCCTGAGATCGTTTTGCACCTCCCCTGAATGTAACTCCCCTTGGGAAAGTTTCAATGATAGATCAAAGTGAAAATTTCACATTTTAATTTTTGTTTGCTTAATAGGGTCTACACTTCGTAAGAAAGTTTTTCTGTAAAATTGAAACAGTGATAGCCATTCATCCCTGTGACAAGTACCTTTTATTGCAATCTTTTGAGAGAAACTTTGTAGTAATTGTAATGAAGGGCAAAATTAGATGAGTTGTACAGTCCTAATTCCGATTGACACACTGATACATATGTACACTACATGCATACGTCACGTTGACTTTGGCCCATTCTAAGCCCTAACTTTCCGTGGGGCTCGTGAGCTAGACCGCTGCACTTCCCCTAAATTTTTTCCACCTCCCTTACTATTTCCACCAAAATCCAACCTTACCCCCAAATCACCCAAACTATGTACTATTTAAAACATGAGCAGCAGTATCTTAAGCCCTGATTCCACGAGCGCTTTTTGTCAGCGAAATGAGAAATATTTCGCCTGTTTCTTTTGAATTGCGACCACTCGAATAAATTATTTCTACTTGGTTGCTCACAATTCAAAAGAAACAGGCGAAGTATTTCGCTGACAAAAATCGCTCGTGAAATCAGGCCTTTATGAGATATAAAGATACGAGACGAAGCCGAGTATCTTTAGGTTTGATAAAACACGCACTGCGAATGTTTTAAATTGCTTAAAAAACGATCGATCTAGTAAGTTCATTGGCGAAGTAATTTTCAAAAAAGACGTTGTGTAAGTGGAGAAAATCAAAGTTAAAGTTTATGTAAATCAAGGGAAATCTCTATCACATATAAAGATACGACACGCTTATGATTTTTCTCTGTGTTTTCCTCATGAATTATTAATGAGTTTTTGTACGCACTATATAATTGTATAGTGTGTCTAATTATTCACAGCTTAGAAAAGGTTACCTAAAATTTCATTGAATGTATTCGAGACAGACTTGTCCCAGCCTGCTTGAAAGAAACATAAGCCAACAGGATCGAGTTGAAAATTTTCCAGAAACGTCGCGGTTTTAAACGATCTGCTTGCTAAACATCTAAAGACATGACAAAAACATACAGTAAAGTACATTAACGGTTGCGTATGGTTATCACGTGTCAATGGACAACTTGCATGTTAGACTAAATTTTAATCGAAGTAAAGAGAGAAGGGAATCAAACACCACAGCTAAAAAGAGCATAATAATGAAATTAGTAAAATTGCAAAATTTGCTTGCGAAATGTTTGTAAAGCTTGGAAAAAATAGTCTTGCAAATTTTGTATATGTTTGTATTACGTGCGGAAATTGTTACCATTTTCGGCTCAAAAATAGCCTGATAACAGACCTACGTTTCACCCGCCCTAAAATTCGTCGACGGAAAGGGCGAAACGTAGGTCTGTTATCAGGCTAGCTCAAAAATGGTAACAATTTCCGCATGTAATACAAACATATACAAAATATGCAAAATTCGCAAGGCTATGTTTTCCGTATTTTACAACATTTCGTAACCAAATTTTGCAATTTTACTAATTTTAATACGCTTTTTTTACGGGAATTTACTTTCTGCCTAGATCAAAAGTTAGTCGTTAATGCAACTTGTCTATTGAGAGTTGGCTTTCACTGTAAAAGACCCAGAATCCCCCTAGCAGTGCCTTTTTTGGCATCTGCCTTTTTTGGCACCTTAGGATCGGACCCCTGATGTTATCTAAATTAGTTTTATGTTATATTCCTAAAAGCATTATCAAGATTCTCAGTGTACTGAAATAATTTTTTTCTGTTAAAATATAAAAGCAAACGAAAGCAAATTCTCGGAGGAAAAACGCAAAATAATCGTTCCACATTATCTTTCCACCAAATTTGGCTGTTGAACCAGCTACACTGAAAATAGGAAAAGATTTATGAAAAACCTTCAAACCTTGTGTTATATGTTCTATGTGTCTCCTCAAAATCACAGCGAGTTGTTTGGTTCAGTAAACAAAACACAAATCTATGATAACCAGTTCCCTTGACCGGGCAGGGAGGCAGATATGGGCTGACCACCTCGCCTTCGCTGATGACTCCGTTTGGAATATTACCGCTACAAACACGAAATAATATAAAATGAACAACAAAGTATACTTGAGTGTATTTATGTTTCATGTCTCAAAGTATGATATAATGATTCCTTAAGTCTTTTAAGACTTAAGGAATCATTATATCATACTTTGAGACGTGTAACATAAATACACTCAAGTATATTCTTAAAAGAATCTCCCATAAACATTTATCTCCCGTCTAGACCGCCTTTTGCCATTTTGGCTTTTGTTTGCCAAAACCATAGATTGAAGTATTTCTTGCACACTTATCAAGTTTTCCTTAGCGGCTGTACACATGAACAAATTTTCCCTTTCCAAAAGCATGACTAGCTTTGCAACAAGGAAGGAAATATTGACAATTTTTGGCCGTAATCAAGGCGAATGTTCGAGTATGGATTGCGGTATTGTCTCTGTTGTTTTTTTCTGTATGTTTACACCATTACAGATAATTCGTCACACATCTGGTATAGGATATGTGTCGTGACAGATCATCTCTCGAGATATAAAGATCGTTTCAGTAATTTGCAACTCACACCATCCAATGAAGCAATTCATCACCTCTTGAGAATATATTACCATCTTTAGAAGATAGAAGATTAACATTAACTTTCAAAAGGTCATAAATGTTCATGCCTTTTAAATGGATTGACAAATATTGAAAGATTTGAGTCATTTGACCAACCTAAATTAACCATAAGAAGTGTGGCCAGAGAATCATCTTCAGGATCAAATGACACTTCCGGTTCACACGATGTCTAGAAAATATAATCTTTGCTTTAAGTGGAGATAGATAAGAGATGATCCTTACTGGACCTCTGGTAAGAACAGTTTAGAACTGATAGAGCTATCCAGAATAAATAAAGTTATAATAATAGTTCAGTTTATGTTTCCTCCTGTAGTAACACTGGATCAATAAGAGATGATCCTTGCAGGACCTCCGGGAAGAACAGTTTAGAACTGATAGAGCTATCCAGAATAAATAAATAAAATTATAGTTTAGTTTAGATTTCCTCTTGTAGTAACACTGGATCAATAAGAGATGATCCTTATTGGACCTCTAGGGAGAACAGTTTAGAACTGATAGAGCTATCCAGCATAAATAAAGTTAGTTTAGTTTAGGTTTCCTCCTGTAGTGACACTGGATCAATAAGAGATGTTCCTTACTGGACCTCTAGGAAGAACAGTTTAGAACTGATAGAGCTATCCAGTATAAATAAAATTAGTTTAGTTTAGGTTTCTTCCTGTAGTAACACTGAATCAATAAGAGATTATCTTTATGGACCTCTAGGAAGAATAGTTCAGAACTGATAGAGCTATATCCAGTATAAATAAACTTTAAGTTAGATCAAGTTTAGTTCATGTTAAATCCTCATGGACCAATAAGTGCAAAATGGCCAGATGGTAACCAATGCTATTCACCTTTGTTGGTTGTAGAAAGTTACCATAATGAACCGAGTCACCATCCTGATAATCGACGTTCATAACTACCATAGGTCTAAAGCTCCTACCATCAAACATGTGGTCAAAAATGCCGAGATAGGAAGCCATCGTTTGGACCTGATGTGGATATTGTTTAGGAGTCCATCCCTTTCTTACATCATCCAGGGGTATTAACACTAGGAGATTAATGTGCAACATAAAAATAGGTACGCCAAGCGTACATGTCTCTGGAAAATATAGGCATTCAAAGTCTAAGGTTTTTTCTACAAGCTAATTGCTAGAAAAATTGCTGTTACTTAGCCTATATAGTCCTACTACATTGTTCTGGAACAAGACCTAGGCCTAAAAAAATACCTGTGTTTCCGGTTTTCTGACCGACCCTATTTTTACGGCCGACCCTATTATTTTTCAACGCAATTGACCATGCGACCCAATTTTCTCCGGGTGGTTGTGGGCTGCCCGTACAGCGTGCCAAAATTATTTCTGACCCTAATTATTCCACACTTTGAAACCAGGTACTTTTTAGGCCCTATTTGTTGGCAGTCTCTAATTAACCTTGGTCAACTAGTACTTATTTATCATTTATCAATTCCAACACACGTTTGCGTGATCTCGCTGCTTTCTCCATTTCCGGATCAGACATGTTTTGCGAACATATTTCTGCTTTGATTTTCCGTAAAACCTTTCTCTTCTGAGGCTTGTCCATGCTTCGTTTCTCTCCACTATATCCTACAAACATATTGAGAAATATAGTACCAGACCTCTCAACTTTGCAGAGAAGTTAAGAGTGAGATTGGGGATGTGACACCTTTGTAAAAGTCCGGGGATCTGAAATGGCATTTTGTACATTATGAGAGTTGGCCAAGCATGGTGTTTTTTAATGAAATACATTGCTTCATAACGTCCTTTAAGACAAGGCACTTTAGTTACAATAACTGTATTTCTGCGACATACAGTAATGAGCTTTAATTTGCCTTTGATAATTTACATATAGAATTCTGCTCCGATTGATTCTGCCTTTTGTCCGTCGAATTAACATATGCGTACTATTTTGTATCCAAATTGCAGGCAAAATGTCTGGCCGTATATGCAGGAACAATAACACGCGATTATTATGCGTGAGATTTACTAAACGTGGCGTGAGAGCGTGAGAGTGAAGTGAATTGCGTGAGACTCACGCCGAATGCGTGAGAGTTGAGAGGTCTGTAGTACACAAACATAAATTTATATTAAATGCGGTACACACTACAGATCCCTGAGGGCTCCAGCCCTGACAAAAAAAAACAACAAAAATAAACTTACTGGACGTTGTATGGTTTCGAAAACGTAGACAACGATTACATAGCGTCTTCTGTGTCGTTTCCTCAAAAATTCCGCTCCGGCGAGGTAAAATATTTGTACATTTTGTAAAAATATTACTTTGAGCAAAATTTGCTATTCTGGCCGCCATCTTGGATTTTGCGAAGTACTTCGTCTTACACGGATATTGTGGATCTGTAGTTTTGGAAAGAACCTGGCCGAAGTTTAGGCTCAGAAAATCATGATTAAAATCTAATAAAAACTTAATAAAAAGTTACCAAGAAGTTCGAAAAAATACTAATAATTTGAAGAATGTCTCCGGCTTCCAGATTTGGCTCTTTACTGGTAATTTTAATCAATAAATTTGAACTGTTTTGCATGTATGACAAGTCTTGCCGTCTTGATTTCAATTCTAATATGTCTACAGTTTAATGATTTGTATTTTCGTCTGAATTTTGTAGGTTGGACTTGGTTGTGGTGGTATTTTGGGGTTGTATTTGGCACAAAATTACAATGTATGCGATGCTCTGATGTTGCAATTAATTTGATAATTTTTAATAATGGCTAGCGCCCCCTGACATATACAATCTCCCCCCCCCTGAACATATAAAATCCCCCAGCCGAACATATAGAACCACCCCCCCCCCAAACATATAGAATCCCCCAGCATTAAGTACTTAAAAACATAGAATAAATTATTGTGATAATCTGTCTCACATTTCAATTTTCTTTGCAAATATTGCACTATATTTACATGCAATGCAAAAGCCTCTGTGTCAGCTGTCACAATGAGCTATTGCAATTTTGATCTGCACCCCCCCCCCTTCCTCTGTTGAGAAACCTTCAAATTCCAAGGAAGGACTTAAAATCCTTTCAGAATTTCCATGGTGAGATTATCAGAAAAAAATTGATTTTTTAAAATTTCTATTGAGAAAGGCAATTGCTAGCTTTTAAGGGAACTTGACTTCGAATTTCCAGTAAAAATTAATCTCTCTTACTCTCTCTGAAAGTAAGACCTTTTTCGCTCATTACTCAGGTTTAAATGTACTGACAGAGGGTTTTGTTTATTTAGTTAACACAATAAGCGCCAGCGCTCTCCCCTTGATGAGTAAAATTGTCTGGCGTTAGACAAAGTAAAATAATAAAGTAGGGCACATCAGGGCGCAATGGTACTCAATGGGTTAACTAGACACATGGGCAGTCGATATAGGCCAATTAAACCATTAAGCGCCAGCACTCTCTCCTTGATGAGTAAAATCGTCTGGCATTAGACAAAGTAAACTAATAAAGTATGGCGTATCAGGGCACAATGTACGTGACTCAATCGGTTAACTAGACACATGGGCAGATAGGCCAGTTAACCCATTAAGCACCAGCACTCTCCACTTGAAGAATAGAATCGTCTGGCTTTATAGACAGTGTAAAATTATAATAAAGTACAGCGCATCATGGCACAATGCAGAGCTATATTTACTTTAACATGTCTGATACAGTATTAAACCTGTCTGCAGAGAGTGAATAATCTTCAAATTTTTAGCTTCCAGATTTGCAAACTTTAACTGAAAGGATATTTGCCAAAGGCAGCGAATATAGGAAAGACGATAAGAAAGAATGATAGAAAATCAATGATCTTAATGGTAAAAAATACTTTGTTTACATTTTTTACATTAATTTTATACAATATTAACATTGATGTTGTGATCACTCGGTAATATGATAGAATCAAATGTTCTCGGGTGAAATTTTTTCGAAGGTCGAAGGTTTGAAACCCAGCCATAGTAGGCGGAATTTTATGCTGTCCTAATGTAACATTAGTGATATTAAATGCAAGACTGCACTTACTGTAACAGGTGAAATTGTGTGCATTTGGGTGCATTGCAGCTTATAATGAGTTAATTTTAAGATGACAAGCTTTTTTTGGTAGGAATGCAAGTCTCCCTGAAAAATATAAGGAGAATTTCGACGTAAAAAATTCTCCTCATATTTTTCAGGGAGTTGTATCCCTACCAACGAAAGTTTGTCGTCTTAAAATTAACCCATTAAGCTGCAATGCACCCAAATGCACACAATTTAACCTGTTAAGGGGCTATAATAGACTTTGAAAATTAATCCGACAATGTGATCTTTTTTAACCCTAATTCAATATGCGAGCGGCGCTCACACATGGTGCATGCACCTGATGTCTGCATGGTATTTGCTTTCTATTTACATATTAAATATCATCAACCTATCACTAATAACAATAGTTTCACATTATTTACAATGGTTACAATATTACAACGAGGGACATATAGGGACAATGAGGGAGGGAATACTTAGTGGTAACTAGGTAAATATTGTTTTTCCCCTCTTTAAATAAAGCATGTATGTATTATGTATACATGGTCCTTCTGCTGAATACTGCATTTCCAGACAATTTGTCGACAATTTGTCGACGAATGTTCGTGTCTAATTTACATTAATTGCGTCAATGTAGTACAGTTAACTAAGAGAATGTTATCATGCTAAAAGCATGATATTTTTGAAAGAGTGTAATCATTGTCAAAGATTGGTAGCTTTAGTAATATTTTGCGATGATCACACTGTTTTAAAGGGCATATTACTCAAAAATTGATGGTGTTATTTTTTAGTGTAATTTGAAAGATCATTTAAACTGTAGAGTAACTTCGTTGATAGATTTTTGTTTTCTTGCTTCGTTTTGAAGATATTTCATTTTGTATGATATGCAAAGGATCAACTTTCTACGTCACATACTCACATATGCATAATGATTTAGCCCTAAAAGCTGTACATCTTTAATTAATAGACCCATTGCACATGACGTCATAGCGCCGGTGACGATGCATCTGGAGGACAAATTAGCAATCTAACTTTTGTAAACAAAGCAAATTTTGTAAAACTTAATAATAATTTTGAATTAAAATGGTTAATTTTTGCGCTGTATGTGCGGGTTGTTGTACCCGAACAGATATTGTTAGGGAGCATCTGGAGGACACTCTAAGGATGTGTGACGTCAGTGCAATTGGGTCTATTCGACTAAACACAATCAGTACAAAACCTACATGGACAAATCTCGTGCTCATTCATTTTGAGCGAATTTATTTGATAGTGACAAAAGTATATATGCATGTGTGACATAGAAAGTTGGTCCTTTGCATATCATACAAAATGAAATATCTCCAAAACGAAGCAAGAAAACAAAAATCTCTCAAAGAAGTTACTCTACAGTTTTCAATTATCTTTCAATTTAGACTAACAAAATAACACCGTCAATCTTCGAGTCATGCCCTTTGAAAAACTTCATTCGTGAAATGTTGACATGACTTTCCAAATCGCCTCTAAATCTTCCTGAGGAGATTCGTAGTTATTGTTTTCGATTCTTGTGTCTTGTTGATCATGTAGAATCTCTTTTTTATTGTCTTCTGGTTTGACGTTCATCTCTTGCATCGACGCTTCATAATGTGGGGATATTTCGCGACGTTTTCTAAAGTGAAGCACATTTAAATTCACTTGGTTTGCCAGATTACGAGATATTTACTATATCACACATAAAACGCACAAGTTGTTACAGGTTTGCAAACAAGTATTACAAATCTATTCACAAGCTGTCGACAAGTTGTGTTCGCACTGCTTGTTCCCAGTTGTTGTAAAAAGTTTGGAACAAGCTGTTAACAACTTGTAACAAACTTGGTGGCATTATGGCACAAACTTGGTGGCATGATATAACAAGAATGTTACAAGGTTGACGGCACAAGGTTGTAACAATATTGTTATATCATCACTGTATCGGACTTGTTGGAACAACCTTGCAACAAGCCTGGTAATATCAACAAGGTTGTTACAAGTTGTTCACAGCTTGTTCCAAACTTATTGACAACTCATACGCTATTTGGCAGAACCATCCTCAGAGATACGAAAAACTAGTTTCATATTAATCTAATCAAGATTAATATGAAACTAGTTTTTCATACGCTATACGTACCTATTTTTCTTTTTAAGAACTCTAATCGCTCTTACGATCACCAAAATTGCAAGAATAAATGGCAGCAACATGAGCCACCATAAATCGTTGCTTTTTCTTGCGTCTGTCGACCCCGGTCGAAATGTCATATCACGTGGTGTAGGCGTGCTTGTGACGTCACAACACGTGGTACTTGTCTCTATTCGTCCTCCTGGTGATAGATCAATCCCCGTGCGATCTTTTACATCCTCTGTTGTAGCTGTGAAATCCACTGAAGTCCTAGATAACTTGTTCTCTGTTATTTCAGTGAAACGAATGTATGATGTTATCTCCGTGCGATCTTTTATACCCTCTGATGTAGCTGTGAAATCTACTGAAGTCCCAGATAACTTGTTCACAGTTGCCTCAGTGAAACGAATGTATGATGTTATCTCCGTGCGATCTTTTATATCCTCTGATGTAGCTGTGAAATCCACTGAAGTCCCAGATAACTTGTTCTCAGTTACCCTAGTGGAACGAATGTATGATATTATCTCCGTGTGATCTTTTATACCCTCTGATGTAGCTGTGAAATCCGCTGAAGTCCCAGATAACTTGTTCTCAGTTGTCTCAGTGGAACGAATGTATGATGTTATCTCCGTGTGATCTTTTGCACCCCCTGATATAGCTGTGAAGTCCACTGAAGTCCCAGATAACTTGTTCTCTGTTACTTCAGTGAAACGATTGTATGGTGAAAATGATTTCAGTTTTACCAAATAACTGCTGCTCAAGATTGTTTTGGGAGATTCTGTTTGCCTCGTGGAATTCATTACCATCATTGATGTGCGGTTTCGTCGTGTCATTCCGCCTTCCGTGCTAGCTGAAAATGCGTGCGATGGAAACAGGTGTGATATAGTAGGCGATGACGTCATCAGAGGTGACGTCATGGGTGATGACGTAATGAGTGATGTAATAGGCGATGTCGTCATGGATGCTGACGTCGCAGGTGTTGATGTAATATATGATGGCGCCATAAATGCTGACGTCATAAGCGATGACGTCTGTGGGGATGACGTCATTAATGTGGTGAAAATAAATTTAGGTAATGACATCATCATTCTGGACATGGAAGGGATGTAATGGATGCTGTTTTTGGTTGTCAATACATTTAACGTGTTATACTTTACTTGTGTTGTTGAGATGATTTCCAGAGAGTTGTTTGTTAGAATTGCTGAATTGACCGTCTTTGTTGTCTCGTTACATTCTGGACCATACCAACCATTCAGACAGATCTTCGCACCAGTTGTGGTGTTGCAATTATAACCACTCACTCTATCATTTTTTTCCTGGCATTCCACGTCGCATTTCACTCCGTACCATGGTCGATAACAGATTCTCTTTCCTGTGCTATCACAGTTATATTGATGACCGGGTTTACATGTACAATTTGGACCTACATAACCATTGAGACATAACTTATTTCCAGTACTTTCGACACATTTATAATTGACACCGGGAAGACATCCAACCGAGCAAGAAGGACTATAGTAGTGTTCTTTGCAATAAACTTGATAGCTTAGTGTTATATTTGAGTTTGATCTCCCGTTAGCAAGAAGAGTCGCATTTTCCCATTTTTTCTTTCCATAAACAGTTGGATAAATTGATCGATGAAGTCGGTAACTCTCAATCTTTGATCCATTCCGGTTTGTAGCTAGGATGCTGATTCCAAGATTTCCCTGCGGGTGAAATATATTGATGAGACTTGAAATGAAGGGAGGAAGAGACTAAGGTAGGAAGGAGCATGGAGGGAGGGGGGAGGGAGGGAGGAGGAAGGAGGGGAGGAAAGAAGAGGGAGTGATGGTGGAAGAAGGGAGGTGGGAGGAAGAGAAGGATGGAATGAAGGAAGGAATGGGGAGGGAAGAAGGAAGGAAAGAAGAGGGAGTGATGGAGGAAGAGATGAAGGGAAGGAAGGAGGAGGGAGGGAGGAGAGAGGGAGGAGGGAATGAAGAGGAAGTGATGGAGGAAAGGAGGGAGGAAGGTGGGAAGGAGGGAGGGAGGAAAGGATGAAAGGAAGGACGGAAGAAGGAAGGGGTGGAGGGAAGAAGAGAGAGAGGGATGGAGGAAGGAGGATGGAATGAAAAGGACGTGATGGGGGAAGAGTAGGATGAAAGGAAGGAGAGGAGGGAGAGAGTTTGGAAAAAGAAAGGAAGGGAGGGAAATTACTTATTCACTCCAATTATTGACATCCCTGATCTCACCTGAAAAGATAGAAAGCTATACAGCAACGGATTGCGCGATCCGTTTCCAAGGTCCTGGGGGAAATATATTACAGATTTACTGTAGAATATGCTAGTCTTTCCCATGCCATATAAACAGTCACTGTCAGTTCTCTTGCCATCGCATGTAACCCAGATTGAGAGCTGGTAGTCACACGGGTGACATCTAGACACCAGTGATCTTTTACCACAGCATCTTCCTTCATAGTTTGTGTTATCATGATTATGCAGATAATCTAACCTCACCAACACAGAACCACCAGGCTCGCCTTTTGTGTAGTCTAGCTGTTAAAGATACTGAATTAGATGCTGATTACATTGAAAGCTTTCAGCCCGGGCTGTGTTTCAACCGCGGAAATGGGATGACATTTCAGCCCGACCAGGCCTACTCTGGGGCAGTAACTCGCCTGAACTCGCCTTGAGATAATGCGATTTTAGGCGATTTAAGGGGACTTTAGATCCCAGAGTAGGCCTCCGACCTAAGGATAGAATCCTATTAAAACACCGATAAATAAATAATGTTCGTAAAATTTCCAAACGTTCCTTGCAAGCAAGCTATTTGCATGACAAGGTACTGCAAACTCTATTCAGGGGAGATAATAGAGTTTCAAAACTTTACAATTGGTCCAATAAACCAGTGAATGCAAGCGAGGAGCAATTATTTTCAGAGTATTGCACGTCCAATAAACCAGTGAATGCAAGCGAGGAGCAATTATTTTCAGAGTCTTTTTCTATTTGAGTGTACTCTTACGTTTATTTTGTATCATCAACACTATGCACGTTGGAGTGGACTATTTAATTATTTTTTTATTATGCCGAATATTGGGGGGTTGTACATTTTGTTTGGGGGGGGGGGTTATAGCTAATATTGCGGGATAGCTCTATTTTGAGACTTGATCGTTTCAGCCCAAGCTGAAATTTCACTTTCCGGTTTGAGCTGAAATTTTAACTCGGCCCGGGCTGAAAGTTGCCATGTAATCGTGGAACAATTTCAGCTCGATTAACCGCGTTGAAATTCAGCAGGGGCTGAAAATAGGCAATTCCAGCTGTAGACTAAATTTTGATCTAGGCAAGAAGAACAAAATCCATCACCACAGCTAGAACGAGCATGTTAAAATGAGTAAAATTGCAAAGTTTAGCCGCGAAATGTTGTAAAATGCGAAAAATATAGCCCTGCGAAATTTGCAAATTTTGTATTAATTTGTATTACATGCGGGAAAATGCACCACATTTGGACCGAAAGTGGTGCATTTTTCCGGGCGTAATACAAATTTTAAAATACAAAATTTGCAAATTTCGTACGACCATATTTTCCTCATTTTACAACATTTCGCAACCAAACTTTGCAATTTTACTAATTTTAGTATGTTCTTTCTAGCTGTGGTGATGGATTTCGTTCTTCTTGCCTAGATCAAAATTTAGTCATATCTGGAATTACCCATTCGTCATGGAATCAGGCCTCTAAACCAGAAGCGCTCTTCTCATTGGGCGAAACTACGTGTTACAGAATAGAGGTGATAAACATGACCCCTTCTCCTTGAACGTCCTTAATTAATTAATGAATGTTAATTCATATTAATTAAGGCATACACCGAAGTATTAATTAATACGCCTAAATAAAAAAACTTGAATGTGAATCACCTTAAACGATCATCGCATATTATAATACAATATAGATGTAATGTAATAAATATAGATATACTGTACTTACTGTTGTTAATAACCAGACCCAAATTGCGATGAATCTGACACAATCCATTGCTCTTTGTAATATGATTCAAGACTATCTCGCATACATTCTATTTCAGCCTAAGCAATACTTGGCTGATGGCTTTATCAGGTTTTAGCTGACTTATAAGCTTCGTGTTTGTCGTTCGCTTAACATCTCAAAATTTCCTGTGTTTGTATAATCAAATACTCCTGGGTTGTTTTGACATTGAAAGCCAGATGGTAAACACATTTCTGTATCTTTGGTTTCGATGCAGATATATTTTATTAAATTTTGCTTGCCATTTATACTCGGTTCTGTCTTTGATAAATGAAGCTAAGTAAATAACCATTCTACCGTGTTGACAGCATGAATAATTAGTTTGCAGCGAAGAATATTATAGAATTCTGTTCAACGTTTTGCGTTCTGGGAAGAAAGATCATTGGATTGCTTCCTTGGATATCCCATCGCGAAGTAAAATATTTTAAATGGCCTCTCTGTATTGAGTGATCAAATTACAATACGCACAAGGTGAATTTTCGTATTTCTCTGAGTTATCTTAAAATAGCATTGTTTGTGTTAGATGCTGTGGTACGGTACATTCTTACCAGCCAAATGTTCAAGCTATTGGTTCTCAATACAGTTTTGAAATGTTTTGAAATGCACGTCCTTTGCGACGGGGGGGGGGGGGCGCTTTGCGGACTTTGCAGTAGATTCTCGCTAGCCTAAACTCCAGTTGGTTGGTTCTTAGTGTATAGGTAAAAGTCTTAAAATACACGTCCTTTGTGGTAGATTCTCACTAGTCTTACCTTCAAGTTGGTTGGTTCTTAGTGTTAGGTAAAAGTCTTAAAATACACGTCCTTTGTGGTAGATTCTCACTAGTCTTACCTTCAAACTGGTGGTTCTCAGTGTAGGTAGGGTCTTGAAATACACGTCCTTTGTGATAGATTCTCACTAGTCTAAACTTCAAACTCTTGGTTCTCAGTGTAGGTAGTAGTCTTGAAATACACGTCCTTTGTGATAGATTCTCACTAGTCTAAACTTCAAACTGTTGGTTCTCAGTTTCGGTTGTGGTCTTGAAATAGACGTCTTTTGTAATAGATTCTCACTAGTCTAAACTTCAAACTGTTGGTTCTCAGTGTAGGTAGTAGCCTTGAAATACACGTCCTTTGTAGTAGATTCTCACTAGTCCTTTGTAGTAGATTCTCACTAGCCTAAACTTCAAACTGTTGGTTCTCAGTGTAGGTAGTGGTCTTGAAATTATGGTACATTTTAATTAAAATCCAGAATATAATCCTTTAATGAAATACCTTAAAACCCCATTACACAAGTATTTATGAGTCAGCCCTATGTTGTACCGCCAAGTTTACTTGGTGATATAAATTAAAGTCGTTATTGAATACTTTATCCTAAGTGCATGATTACGTACAATTCATATATTTGTTAATAAGATTATGGTCTATTCATTTGATAGTATTACGGAAGTATGGATACAATCGGCTTTTAATCGAGTTCGATTCAATTCATTTTTCTTGTGTCTAATCTCTGAATACTAAAGTTTTATATATGTTTTCATTTTATTCATATTTCCCCAACTGTAAGTTTTATTGCCTTATAATTGTCAAGTTTAGAACGTCGTTTCCATCAGCGTGGTTTTCTACTACGATTCCAGCATCGTATGTTGATGTAGACTTGGTTATGACAATTTTAGATCCCCTGATGAAGTAGAAAAAGGATTGTATAAGATTGAACGTACTTTTCCCTTAGGTCAATGGTTAAGTGGACTGTGGTTGGCCACAGAATTGAGGCCATTCATTCAACAATTACGTCATCATCGTAGCCAGACCACAGAGGGGCTAAAAAGAGCCCACAATTTGATGACGTAATTGTTGAATGGCCCCATTCTGATTGGTTAGGGTGATTGCATGATACGTGTGTAGGTTGGTGATCTCATAAGTTAAGTTTCATTGATTACCTTTTTTTGTACTTCAGTATCACCATGACAACCACCATCACAAAAAGTACCAGCGCTACCACAACCATCCAGAACCACCAGCGTGTGACCACATTCTTTTGATCTCTTGCTTGAGGCGAACGAGGTGTGATATAGTTTGTTGTGGTAACACTACTGCTTTTAGGGAAAGTTTCCGTTGGTTCAATACCACTACTAGTTTTGTATACTTTTGACGATGTGATTGTCTCTTTGTTTGCTGTGGATTTGTATGTTTCTAACGTTACTGATGAACAAGTGCCAGAGGTAGTAAACATTGCATTCGAAGTTGGAAAATAAGGTTTTGTTTTGGAGTGAGGTCTTGTTTTGGAATGAATAGAGGTATTCAGCATTTTAGAAGTTGATATATAAGATCCTGTTTTGGAGAGAGCTGAAGTACTGAGCATTCCATTAGATGTTGATATATTAGTTCCTGTTTTGGAGTGAGCAGAGGAACTGAGTATTGCATCTGTAGAAGTTGGTATATAAGTTCTTGTTTTGGAGTGAGCGGAGGAACTGAGTATTGCATCAGAAGTTGGTGTATATAAGTTCTTGTTTTGGAGTGAGCGGAGGAACTGAGTATTGCATCAGAAGTTGGTGTATAAGTTCTTGTTTTGGAGAGAGCTGAAGTACTGAGCCTTCCATTATAGATGTTGATATATAAGTTCTTGTTTTGGAGTGAGCAGAGGAACTGAGCCTTCCATTAGATGTTGATATATAAGTTCTTGTTTTGGAGTGAGCAGAGGAACTGAGTATTGCATCAGAAGTTGGTGTATAAGTTCTTGTTTTGGAGAGAGCTGAAGTACTGAGCCTTCCATTAGATGTTGATATATAAGTTCTTGTTTTGGAGTGAGCAGAGGAACTGAGTATTGCATCAGAAGTTGGTATATAAGTTCCTGTTTTGGAGTGAGCAGAGGAACTGAGTATTTCATCAGAAGTTGGTATATATGTTCCTGTATTGGAGTGAGCAGAGGAACTGAGTATTGCATCTGCAGAAGTTGGTATATAAGGTCTTGTTTTGGAGTGAGCGGAGGAACTGAGTATTGCATCAGAAGTTGGTGTATAAGTTCTTGTTTTGGAGAGAGCTGAAGTACTGAGCATTCCATTAGATGTTGATATATAAGATCCTGTTTTGAAGTGAGCAGAGGAACTGAGTATTGCATCAGAAGTTGGTAAATAAGTTCTTGTTTTGGAGAGAGCTGAAGTACTGAGCATTCCATTAGATGTTGATATATAAGATCCCCTGTTTTGGAGTGAGCAGAGGAACTGAGTATTGCATCAGAAGTTGGTATATAAGTTCTTATTTTGGAGAGAGCTGAAGTACTGAGCATTCCATTAGATGTTGATATCTCTGATGTAGCTGTGAAATCCACTGAAGCCCCAGATAACTTGTTCTCAGTTACCTCAGTGAAACGAATGTATGATGAAAATAGTTTTAATTCTACCGAGTAACTGCTGCTCAAGATTGTTTTGGGAGACTCTGTTTGTCTTGTGGAATTCATTACCGTCATTGATGTACTGTTTCGTCGTGCCATTGCGTCTTTCGTGAGAGCTGAAAATACATGCGATGGAAACAGGTGTGACATAATAGGTGTGACGTCATCAGATGTGACGTCATAGATGATGACGTCATTAAGGTTGACGTCATTGTTGACGACGTCATGAATGATTTAATAAGCGATGGCGTCATGGATGACATCACATGTGTTGATGTAATATGTGATGCCGGGATAAGTGCTGACGTCATAAGCGATGGCGTTTGTAGAGATGACGTCATTAATGTTGTGAAAGTACTTTCAGGTAATGACATCTTTCTAGACATGGAAGTGATGTGATGGATGCTGTTTTTGTTTTTCAGTGAATTTAAAGTGTTAAACTTCCCTTGTGTTGTTGAGATAATTTCCAGAGAATTGTTTGCTAGAATTATTGCTGAACTGACCGTCTTTGTTGTCTCGTTACATTTTGGACCATACCAACCATTCAGACAGATCTTCGCACCAGTTGTGGTGTTGCAAATATAACCACTCAATCTATCATTTTTTCCCTGGCATTTCACGTCGCATTTCACTCCGTACCATGGTCGACGACAGATTCTCTTTCCTGTGCTATCACAGTTAAATTGATGACCAGGTTTACATGTACAGTTTGGACCTATATAACCATTGAGACATAACTTATTTCCGGTACTTTCGTCACATTTATAATTGACACCAGGAAGACATTGAACCGTGCAAGAAGGGCTGTAGTAGTGTTCTTTGCAATAGACTTGATAGCTTAGTGTTATATTTGAGTTTGATCTCCCGTTGGCGCGAAGCGTGGAATTTGTCCATTTTTTCTTTCCATAAACTGTTGGATAAATCGATTTATGATATCGGTAACTGTCAATCTTTGATCCAATCCGGTTTGTAGCTAGGATGCTGATTCCAAGATTTCCCTGGGGATGAAAATATATGATGAGATTTGAAATGAAGGGAGGGAGGGAGGGAAGGAGAGATGAAGGTAGGAAGGAGGCGGAGGAAGGGAGGAGGGGAGGGATGGAGGAAAGAAGAGGGAGTGATGGAGAAGGAGGGAAGAGGGAGAAAGAGAAGAAGGGGGATGAAGGAAGGAAAGAAGAGGGAGTGATGGAGGAAGGGAGGGAAGGAGGAAGGAGGGAGGATGAGGGAGGGAGGGAGGGAGGGAGGGAGGTGGTCGGGAAGGAGGAAGAGAAAGATGAAAGGAAAGGGGGAAGAAAGAAAGAAGGGAAGGAGGGAGGGAGGGAAGGAAAAGAGAGAGAAGGAGGAAAGGAAGGATGAAGGGGGAGGGATGGAATGAAAAGGAAGTGATGGAGGAAAAAGGAAGGAAGAAGGGAGGGAGGGAGGGAGGGAGGGAGGGAGGGAGGGAGAGAGGAAAAGTAGGATGAAAGGAAGGGTAGGAGGGAGGGAGTTGGGAAAAAGAAAGGAATGGAGGAGGGAGAAAGGGATAGAGGAAGGGAAGGAGGGAGGCAGAAAAGGGGGAGAATACGACTCACTTATTCACTCCAATTATTGACATCCCTGATCTCACCTGAAAAGATAGAAAGCTATACACCAATGGATTGCGTGATCCGTTTCCAAGATCCTGGGGGAAAGATATTACAGATTTACTGTAGAATATCCTAATCTTTCCCATGCCATATAAACAGTCACTGTCAGTTGTCTTGCCATCGCATGTAACCCAGATTGAGATCTGGTAGTCACACGAGCGACACCATATCCAGCTAGATTTACTGCAGCAACGCCCTGCATAGTTTCTGTTATCAGGATTATTCAAATAATTTAACCTCACCAATACAGAACCACCAGGCTCGCCTTTTGTGTAGTCTATCTATTAAAGATAGGGAGGGAGTTAGATGCTGATTACATGCCGGTTAACCGAGCTGGAATTGTTTCAAGATTGCATGGCAAATTTCAGCCTGGGACGAGTTAGAATTTCAGTTCAAACCGAGGTGAAATCTCAGCCCGGGCTGAAACGATCAAGTCTCAATCAAAATGGAGCTATTCCGCTTCTTCAAAGAATTTAAAATGTTGTTCATGTCTATTATTTTACTTCTGCGAGACTGTGGTTGCATTTAAAAATAGAACAGACAGAAACTTAAACGCTGTTTTTTCAACCCGGGTTGAAATGTCACGTCGATTACATGACGATTTTCAGCTCGGTCAATCGGGATGAAATTCTCAGCCCAGATAACTTCAACTGGGCTGAAACTCATCCCGGGCGTCATGACGTCATGAGTGATTTAATAGGGGATGACGTCATGGATGACGTCACATGTGTTGATGTAATATGCGATGGCGGGATAAGTGCTGACGTCATAAGCGATGACGTTTGTGGAGATGACTTCATTAATGTTGTGAAAGTACTTTTAGGTAATGACATCTTTCTAGACATGGAAGTGATGTGATGGATGCTGTTTTTGGTTTTCAGTGAATTTAAAGTGCTAAACTTCCATTGTGTTGTTGAGATGATTTCCGGAGAGTTGTTTGCTAGAATTATTGCTCAACTGACCGTGTTTGTTGTCTCGTTACATTCTGGACCATACCAACCATTCAGACAGATCTTCGCACCAGTTGTGGTGTTGCAATTATAACCACTCAATGTATCATTTCTTCCCTGGCATTCCACGTCGCATTTTACTCCGTACCATGGCCAATGACAGAGTCTCTTTCCGGTGCTAATATCACAGTTATATTGATGACCAGGTTTACATGTACAGTTTGGACCTATATAACCATTGAGACATAACTTATTTCCGGTACTTTCGTCACATTTATAATTGACACCGGGAAGACATCCAACCGTGCAAGAAGGGCTATAGTAGTGTTCTTTGCAATAAACTTGATAGTTTAGTGTTATATTTGAGTTTGATCTCCCTTTGGCGCGAAGAGTCGAATTTGTCCATTTTTTCTTTCCATAAACTGTTGGATAAATCGGTCGATGAAGTCGGTAACTGTGAATCTTTGACCCATTCCGGTTTGTAGCTAGGATGTTGATTCCAAGATTTCCCTGGGGGTGAAATATATTGATGAGACTTGAAATGAAGAGAGAGAGAGATGAAGGTAGGAAGGAGCAGGG